TATATATATATATATCTATATATATCTATATCTATATATATCTATATATATATAGAATTGTGATTGTATCTATTTTTCTCCTTTTGTCGTTATCTCATCACATGGGAGAAGTGTTATTGGAAAAAACATCAGTTCTTTAATTAAGGCTAACAAATTAACTTTTGAATTACAGTGGTGTAACAGTAGAGAGGTAGAAATGATACAGCAGTGTTGTAATATCTGCTGCTTTGAACAAGTTGGGAGATCTATTTAAAATGTTGAGTGCACTCATGCAGACACTCTGTTTCTCAGGAATGTCATATTGCTATTGAGATGAGCTGCAAAACACAATCTGAACATTGTACATGTCATGTTTTCTGTATCTACCTTAAACCACATTCCAACATTCAAGAACATTTCTAGAAATTGTGCTAGACGTTTTATTCTAGTACCCAACTTTTATATTATATGATGATTACTAGTTAAAATCAGCATTGCCAGAATCCTTGCAAGGTGTAGCTGTGAATACTACAATCTCAGAGATCATAAAGTCATTAACATTAACATCAAGAATATTGCCGGTTTACTATTGAAAATAATTATTTTTTACACTTCTTGTTTTTACTTGTATGATAGGACTATTTTTATTTTTATTTTGTAGCTAAGTTCAAAGACATCTGTCCGGGTGGAATGGGCTACACTGTTCTACCAAATCCGCCTGTCAATAAGCCAGTCATCACTTACCAGGAGCCCAATGACCCACTACCCCCCCAACCCTTGCCAACACCAGAGAGACCAGTGGAGGCCTTTGGGAAACCAGAAGAGATTATACCAGGTGAGTTTCTACCATTTAATATTACCAGTGCATGTTCAGTTGATTTACTTTAAGTTGATATGTGTGGCACACATATCAAAACTAGATTAGCACAAGCCGCTTGTGTGTTTGTTGTTGTTGAATGTTTGTAATACAGATTAATGAAATCAAATGCCAAATAATAACTTTGGTGCAGCTTCAAAATTATAGCATCCAAGTGTTCTCCATTTCTGAGACACTTGTTCTATAGTCAGGGTTGCGATGGCAACAAAGTGAGACAAGCAGCCCAAACATCTTTTCACACAGCAACTTCTTCCAGCTTTTCCTGGGTAACCCCAATAATTTCCTGTCCAGCAGGGAAATGTAGTCCCTTCATTGTGGACCAAGATCACTCCATGACCAAAGCATTTATAAAGGAAGGTGCCCAGGATGCAGACCAGTTGACCGCAACACATCTAGCTATCCCTGGCAATGAAATGGATCTGTGGCTCAAAACCACCGCCATCCCCAAATATTAAACTCCTCCCTCATTATCACATTTGTCAACACGAGACATATTCTTTCTAATTATTTAAGGTAGGCCTTTATATTATTTGAAGGACCACAATGCAAAAGATGTGTCCTTTGGTCTTCAGTCTAGACTTTTTGGTAATATCATTAGAACCTTTTCGGTTTATCTATCTCACTGTGTTTGGAATGTTAAAACTTAAATATCTTTTGAGGCCAAATCATTATAAAGTTTCACCATCAATGCTGCAAGTTGTAAGATGCTAATTATGTAGAAAGACTGGGTATAATATTCTCTTTCCTGTTTTAATAAGCAACAGAGCAGCAGCATGTTATTCTAGCTGTAGATGAAATAAGGGTTTTGGTTTACTTTAAATTGCAATAATCTATATTTAAGGAAATTAGTGCAAAAACAATCCAGAGCTGCATCCATTAGCTTCTGCTCATCCGGGTCGTGGTCCAAACGGCCTTCTCCCCAGTAACTCCCCAGCAACCAGTTGGATTTGTCAGCAAAACCTCTGAAGGCAGACGTCCAGGGGGCATCCTGATCAGATGCCCGAACCACCTCAGCTGGCCCTTTTGACACGAAGGAGCAGCGGCTCTACTCCAAACTCCCTTTGTCTGAGCTCCTCACCTTATCTCTTAGGCTGAGTCCAGCCACCCTATGAAGGAAGCTCAGTTTGACCGCTTGTATCTGCGATCTCAGTCTTTTGGTCACTACCCAAAGGTCATGACCATAGGTGAGGGTCAGAACGTAGATGGATTGGTAAAACGAGAGCTTTGCTTTGCGGCTCAGCTGTCTCTTCACAACGCCGCACCGGATCGCCTGTCTATGTCACACTCCATTTTACCCTCACTCGTGAACAAGACCCCAAGATACGTAAACTCCCTTGCTTGGGGCAGTGTCTCACTCCCAACCCAAAGGGTGCAATCCACCGTTTTCCGGCAGATAACCATGGCCTCAGACTTGAAGGTACTGACTCTCATCCCAACCTCTTGACACTCTGCTGCAACCCGCTCCAGTGTGTGCTGAAGGTCACGTTCTGAAGGAGCCAATATAAACCACATCACCTGCAAAAAGCAGAGATTGAATTCTGAGGTCTCCAAACCGGACACTCTCCTCCCCAGGCTGCGCCTTGAAATCCTGTCCATGAAACAGGATTGGTGACAATGGACCCTAGTGGAGGCCAACACAAACTGGAAACGTGCTTGATTTTGTGCCGAGTAACCGTACATAGCTCTCACTTTGGTTATACAAGGATCGTATGGCTCGTAGCAACAACCCAGGTACCCCATATTCCTGCAGTACCTTCTACAGCAGTGTTTTTCAACCTTTTCTGAGCCGCGGCACATTTTTTACATTAAAAAGATCCCGCGGCACACCAACAACCAAAAACGTTACAAAATGACACTTTTTAGCATAATACAGCATATATGTCAGGGGTGTCAAACTCAATCACAGAGAGGGTGAAAATAAGAAATTGGGACTACGTTGAGGGCCAAATAGAGTCACCATTTAATAAACAGGATAGAAGGGGTATTGGACAAAGTGCAAAAATAATACATGTTTAGGTAGGCTACATTATTGTATGCATACCAGAGCTAGATGTTTGGCATATTTTCTTGGCTGCTAGTTCATTCATATCTGGGGTTAGGTTCTGTGGAAACCCTTACGATGGAGTGAAGGTGCATCAGTGAGACGACTCCTGTGTGGGTTTGTGTTCATCTTTATCACAGAGAAAAGCTGCTCACACAAGTATGTGCTTCCAAACATGCAGAGCATTTGAGCAGCATGTAGGCGGAGTTAAGGCATCGTTTCGGGGGTAAAGCTTGGAAACTGTGAAGCGCCCTCAGAGTCATACTTTGTCTTCAGTGTCATTACACTGGAGGTCTATCAGCTCCACAGGTGCTCTTTCCACGTCAACTACAAACGGATTGCTGAGCAGTTCAAATTTAAATTTCTGAGCTGCAAAGTCGGCAAAATCGCCGGGTGAACTCTGTGCCAAGTGCGCCCAGTTTATCAGCAGAATGCGCAGTCGGGTACACAGCAGTGGAGACTTTTACTGCATCACACATGTCTGTGATCACACATGTCTGTGATCACACGTCCCCGTCCCTGAAGCTGGAGGTTTAGCGCAGTGAGATGCTTCGTTATGTTGCACATAAAGCCAGCTATCATCACCACTTTTTGTCCCGGAGGTCTGTGGTGTGGCGGGCCAGTTATGATAAACATATGATATTTTCTGGCGGGCCGTCGTACCGAGGGCCGGATATATGCAGACAATTTAATGACAAGTCTCTAAATGTGTTGATCCTTACTAGGCTTTTCAGCTGGGTTATTTTGCCCAGTTCAGAGTCTGCATTTTTCCTTTTCAAATATTTCTCCATGGCTGCTCGTCTCGTCCCACTCGTCATTTCATTCTACTGTCCTAAATTAACACGTCATTACTGCGCTACCTACTGCCACCCACTGGCATGGAAGAACATGTATTACTTAGCCAGCCACTATATTGCAGCTCAGACGCTCAACAATGGCAAAGTATTTGCAACAACTAAATAATAATTTTTTGGACTCATTAAGTGAAATTGGACATTTTCCCACGGCACACCTGACGATGGCACAGCGGTTGAAAATCACTGTTCTACAGGACTCCCCAAGTGACTCGGTCATAGGCCTTCTCCAAGTCCAAAAAACACATTTAGACTGGATGGTAAAACTCCCATGAACCCTCCAACTGAGGTTAAATGGTAAATGGACTTGTACTGGTATGGCGTTTCGCTAGTTTTCCGACCACTCAATGCGCTCAAACACTTAATGTCATCATTCACCCATTCATACACTAATGGCTGGGGCTACCATGCAAGGTGCCACCTGCCAATCAGGACTTTCTAATCATTCATACCCATTCATACACCGCAGGAACAGCCTGAGGGAGCTGCTTGGTTAAGAGTCTTGCCCAAGGATACATCAACATAGACTAGCAGAGCCGGGGATCGAACCGTGTCGTGTCGTTAATTCTGAAATCAAACTGAACAAACATACAAAGGGATTCTAGTTGTGTTTCCTCGCCCCCACCCCACTGTTGTTTAGGAACAAGATGGTACTACTTAAAGGAATAGCTCAGTGTAGTGTTGGCGTAGCAAGTTTGTGGTTGAGCGAGAGTGACAGTGGATCAGAGCAGATAGCTTTGAAATGAGCAGTTTGACCATGAATAAACACTGCAGCTCCTCAAGACCCAAGTCAAGTTCTTGTGTCTCTTGCTTCTCATATTTATCCCCCTACTGTGTCTCACATATAGCCCCTACCAGCCTGCGTCTGGTTAAGAGTAGTGAGTGAGAAGTCAGCAGTCAGGCAGGCACACCTATGCACGCACTCATTCCCACACGACTGATATCGTTATCTCCTGGCGGATATAAAAAGTCTCCTCCAATCACAAGCATGCATTCACCCACTGAAAATTTGCATTAATGGAGCTGGTCAATCAGGACCTGCTTAACCGAGTACGTGTGGACCCCACTACACCAGTACTGATCGGTGTAGGACCGACAGGGCCCCTTGGTAGAGGGCACTACCTGTACTTATAGAACTATATTACTGCTATATTGTAACCTTTTTTCTAACCATTGACCACCCATAGGTTTCTGAAGGTTTCTCCAACTGTCACCATCTTGTTAGTGACGACAAAGTCTAATCCAAAAATGGGCACGGTGTAGCATGGCTGCAGCTGAGGCAGCCCGAGTGAAGGCTGGTTGCTTAAACATGCCCACCTAGCTGGAAGCTACCAAGCTAACTAAGTTTAACAAGCTAATAAGAACCGTGGCAATATATTACTCTTTATTGCTAGCCGCCTAACGTTAACCGTGTGGTCTTGTTGATCTCGGCTGCCATTGCAATTTATTTGTCACATAAAATGCATTTGCCCTCTGAGGCAAATTTTTGATTTGTGATTTTGGGCTATACAAAATACATTGAACATTAAGATATTTAATAATCAACATCAACAGCACATACACGAGGCGAGGTTCAGTTACTTGAATTATCTGAGGTAAATGGTAAATAGACTTGTACATAGCTTCTAGTCTTCTGACCACTCAGAGCATGATGACACTACATGTCATCATTCACCCGCATTCATATACTGATGGCAGAGGTTACCATGCTACCACCTGCCCATCAGGACTCTTAACTGACAGCCTGCAGGAGCAATTTGGGTTTAGTGTCTTGCCCAAGGACACATCAACAGCACGGGTAATAAATAATAATAATAATGCATTCTATTTGTAATGCACTTTTCATTTAAAAAATCTCAGAATTGCCACAGAGCCAGTACATAGTAAAAAACATAGTAAAAAACATAGTTAAAATAACTAGTAAGCATAAAAAAAAAAAGTCAATGAACAGAAACACAAAAGAAATAACTGACAGTGATTTAGGTCAGAAACGCCTTCCTGAATAAAAAGGTTTTTAGGCCAGTTTTAAAAGAGACCAGTGTCTGTGTTGCCCTTAGGTGGTCAGGGAGACTGTTCCATAGGCGTGGAGCTGCCGAGCCAAAGGCCCGGTCGCCCATGGTGCGGAGCTTGGTGTTGGGGACCCGGAGGAGCGAGTTGTTTGATGATCTGAGGGTGCAGGTGGAGATTTGGGGAGTGATGAGTTCTTGTAGGTAGGGAGGTGCGTGTCCATTTATGCATTTATGTGTGAGTAGTAGGACTTTTTAGTCAATCTGGAATGAGACAGGGAGCCAGTGTAGTGAGTGCAGAATGGGTGTTATGTGCTCATACTTCCGGACTCTCATCAGGATCCTGGCAGCGCTGTTTTGAATGTATTGCAGCTTCTGGATGTTCTTGGCAGTGATCCCAGTGAAGAGTGAGTTACAGTAGTCCAGTCTTGAGGAGATAAAGGCGTGGACGAGCTTCTCTGCATCTGACAGGGTTAAAGTGGGGCGGAGTTTGGAGATATTTTTGAGATGATAAAACGAGGTTTTGCACAGGTGTTTTATATGGTCATTAAAGGTCAGGTAAGGGTCAAACCTAACTCCCAGATTAGTGACTGGAGGAGAGGGGGATTACCTGACCGTCGAAGGTGAGATGAGTTATGGAGGATGAATGAACCTGGTGTGGAGTGCCAACAAGGAGGGCTTCGGTTTTGCTACTGTTTAACTGGAGAAAGTTGTTGCTCATCCACGCCTTTATCTCCCCAAGACAGGCGGTGAGACATGACATTGGTAACCACCAATCGAAGGTGGTGACACCCAGCTGACAGCTAGCGGCTGTGACAGCACCCACATGTCTGTCAGCTCGGCTTAATTGTGCATAACTTAATGTAATTTTACTGGATGAGTTGTTTTTTTTTTGTATTCACCCAACGTGCAGTTGAATAGCATGAATGATATATTAGCTATAGAAACCAAAACTATTTTTTGTACCGGGCATGTTTTGTTCTGCTATAAATTTGGGCATTTTAACATGGGGGTCTATAAGGGTTGGCTCGTTTTTGGTGCCAGCCTCAAGTGGCCATTTGATGAACTGCAGTGGCTCCGCGTTGGCTTCTTTTTTCAGCCCGGAGGTTGCGGCTTGGTTCTAACTCTCAGAGGCTCCGCCCTCTACTAGACTCTGTGGATACAGTGGGTGGAGCCCGATGAATGCAAGCCCTTTCTCACCATAACATCGAGCCAAACCACGGTGATTCTCACTGGCTAAAGGTTAGTTACAGCCCACCTAATTCTTTATAGCTAATGCGTTCAACATAACAGGCTTAAACGCTCAAACTTGGCAAAGCATCTTACTACCCTGAACTAAGACAGGATTTGGTCAGAGAGTAGCTTCATTGCTATTACCAAGAACCAGCAAGCAACTGGGGTGCACCGACACACACTCTCTCACCTTCAGAGAGGAGCACTCCAGAGGCTCAAAGGGATCCTTCACCAAGGCCTTGAGCACCAATGGCAGTTCCCACAGGCAAGCATCATTGGCGAGTGTGTCTTGTGACCTGCTGCAAGAACCGCCTCTTGAGAGGGTAATTCAAGACCGGTCTGTCATAAAAAACCTTTGTGGCTGGAAGAAATTACTCTATCCAACAACACGTTTGATGTTCAAGAGTTCCTCCCTGGTGAATGGGACCAGGGAAGGAGAGCAGAAAACTGAACAAATAAACAAAAACAGAGAAAGTGCTTATGTTCATCATGGGGAGAAACCGTCACCTTTCAGCTAGAAGTCAACTCGAGCCACAGTCTAATTCTGTCGATTACAGAATTTACCCTTCAACAGTTGGATACTGAGACATTAATATTGTTCAGCTGTCTTCCATCTGGCATGCTTTTAAGTGACTGAACATACTTTCAAAGAAATCAACACCAATGAGGGATTGCATTTTGGCAATCCGGTAAGAGGTAATTGAAATGCATTTTTGTGCTTTTCTGCAATGAATAAAAAGTAACAAAGTAAGTATTACCAATATACCCCACACCCCTCCCTCTGTTGTTTGAAGCGTGGTCTTAATTTATCAGCCTCACAATGCCAGTGTCCCACTGATAAATGAGGGATGAACAACAATCTCACTGTTGCAAATTTCAGCTCCAAAGTAACACTCGAAATCCTGACTTATGATCTCTCCTATATGTGATTAGGAACTCACTTCTTTTACATCCCTCATGTAACATTTGTTTGTAGGTGACAAGGATTAAAGGGCTTTTGCTCACTTCACATTTCCTTCAAACACAGGCCGGCTCACAGCCCTTCAGAAGAGTGGGAGATAAACAAGCTGAGAGATGAAGAAGAGGAGCCTCCCGTTAATATTCAGAGCATGAGGGAAAGCCACCATCTTAGCCAAAACCAGAGTCCAAATTGCTCCTAAGCCTCTCTTGAACGGAACACAGGAGGAATTTTCTCGCAACACCAGACATGCCTCTAAAAACTATCTGATAGAAATCCACCACCCAAAAACTGTACAGATTAGTTTTTGTATACCACCAGATAGGAATTTCGCTCCTGGCAGCCGCACATATTGGTATATTGGCACTGCAGAAACATGAGCTGGATGGAATAAATATAGGAGGATTTTTTTTCATATCCTTAGTGTTGTAATATTTTAGAACAAAGAAAGGGGTCTGCAACCTTTTTGACCTTATCAGAACATGGGAAATGATTATATGGCATTTAGTAAAGGGATTACTTTGGGTAAAGTCTGGTATTTTTGCAATGAAGGTGTTTCACATATCGGGCATTAATTGCTTTTTCTTGTGATCACATAATTATATTATAAACTATCGTCACATAATTATTTAATCAAACTCTGCAGACATAAGCTGTTCAGATTTGTGGGTATGGACATTGTTGGGAAATCTCCACACAACAACTTTGTGAGAATGTGAGAAAAACATGACATTCACTCAGTTGCCAGTTATTGGGTACACTTTGCTAAAATGAATACAGTCCATTCAACACTCGTGCAATAACTCCTCCCCATCATTGGTATAAATAGTGTGGACAAAATAATAGAAACAACTGTCGGTGACCTTGAAACCAACCTACCCAAGATAGTTAGATTATATTATGTTACAAACTAGAGGTGTACAGAGACGTTGTTATATGTATCTGTTCAATTAACTAAATTATCTGTCTCTGTGTTCACATAGAAGACCGGAAGTGGGCGTGGTTTGTTCAGGAAATTACGTTAAATGGAGCAACTGTTGTAAAGTAATATTCATTGGCAATACCATTTTTGAGCTTCAAATTCAATATTGGCATATAGATATCCTCATACTGTACTTTTCATATCTCTCTCTCACTCTCTTATTTTTGCTTTAAAAAACAAACTAGTTTTATGAACTGTCTGAAGCCCACCATCCCTTTTTAACTGGGGGACATTGAACAACCAGACACTGAATTTTCCGTGAAACTGAAACTTACATTTCAACATTTTTTTCTGTTTTTCTGTGGTCAGTAGCAGCAACTTCACCAGATCAGGTAGGTTGGGCGCTTTATAGAGCAGATATGTAGCAGCAGTTTGCATGCATACAGACACTCCTTAGCCGCTGAGGCATTGCAGAATCACCTTTGCATGTCAGTCAGCAATGTTGCTGCATGACTTTCAGCTGGTCAGCACAAAGCAATGTAAAAATCTTGTGTATATGTGAATGTAAGTACCAGAAATAGATATAAATCCCTGACACTAAAATATCCAGACAGAAGTCTATGCAGAAGTGGCAGGCATTGTTTGCTCTCTGGCTTGCTCGCTGAGCTGTTCGTTTTTGCCCTGTATTCAAACTGCAGTCAGTTGTCATGCAATCTGAACGCTAATCTGCTTCATAGCACAACGCTTGTATTGCATGATAGATGCAGTGTGCAGAGCCGAAATGATAGACTGAATGCAATGCTTACAGTACTCTGTTGACCGTGTCCATTTGGTACTATTGTCTGTGTCTTGTCATTGAAGGAGCTGGTAGTTCCTATGGTTAGTAATAGGCCAGTAGTTGAACCTATCCAGCCCCAGCTATCTCCAGGTGTATCCACTGTCAGGATCGAGGCAGCCTACCCAGGTGTCTGCTTCACTACCCTCTAAACTTTGTGGTTGGCAGTTTAGGACATCTCAGACACAGCTTGTCAAGCTCAGCTTTCCCCAAGTTCAACGATAGTTATTTCACTTCCAGTTCTGTATTGGAATGCTAACATTAGCACACGTATAATTTCTGCAAAGAACGGAGAAAAATGCATGCTACGGTGTGTTAAAGTACAGCTAAGAATGACAAATGCAGCTCAGAAAGTACAAGTGAGTCAACTGCTGACAAGTTTAGTCTGATGTCCTAAAAGGCCACCTGTACTGTGATCTTTTTTTACACTGGCATTAGAAGTTATTAATTCTTTCATTTATTATGCCATTTGTTTATCTTCTTGTAGTGTTTAATCATTTCAAGCTACAATCATGTTTTCAGAACAGTGGCGCTTCTTCACTGATGGAGCTGCCAATTTTCTGGAGGTTTTGTGATGAGTTTGTAAAGCTGCACATGTTCCTTTCTAGTCCCCATTATTAGATAAAGTCAAATTGATATTTATATAATGATAGATTTATATAACTTATGGGATTGCATGCGTGTCTGCCATCCATCGCTAAACTGGTCCGACTGCCCCAAGGGAGATACATTTGACAATGCATGCAGCGAAGAGCAGAAGATGTGAATGCAACTTCTTCACAGGCCAAAACTGTCACGTTCTCTCAGGTTCAGCTAAGACTCAATCGCAGAAACAGACACAGGAGACAAGGTGAAGTGGAAGACTAGGTATCTTTGCTGGGGTCCAAGCCATCAAACACAGTAACTGAAAACAACTCCAACAGGGAGTGGGCAAAAATCCAAACTGAAAAAAAGGCAAAGTCACAAACCATGGAACGTAGAGAGACAACACGAGGGATAAACACTGGAGACACGATGAGCACACAGGGAGGAGCAAGGCCGGAACATGAAGCACACAGGGGGAAGAACAAAGACAATCTGACAACCAGAATAGGGAAAGCAGGGGAGTATATGTGTGGGGTGATGAGTAGATTGCAGGCAGGGGAGTTGAATGAGTGCAGTGTGGGGTTGGCAGAGGAAAAAGCTAGGGGGAGGTGATTGAACACAGGTGAAGTGAATGAAAGCAACCAGGAGACAATCAGACACAGACACAGGAGGAAGCCGGGAGGAGACCAGGGGCGGAGCCACACAGGAACACGGGGCAAAGCCTAAACCGTGACGAAAACTTAGTCAGGGCACCTAGAATTACTGAAAAGCACAGTAACAAACCCACAACAATCAATGTGAATGGCTGATTTATTTTCTTATTAGTGTGTAGTTTTATAATGATGTACAGTGACTACTATTGATTGGACATCTTATTAGGTTTACCTGCCTGCTACCAAACACAATCCCTGTTGGTCTCCAGAACAACATTTAGTTTCTGTAATTTATCAACTGTATGTTCATAATACCATTTTTTGTTGAACTTCAACAAGTGCTTTGGTAGGAGATTAAGATGTGAGAACTGATAAAATAACTGGACTAAACGTTTGTAGAACCATGCTGAAGTTGTGACATGAAAGGTTACCCTTCTTGAAGTATGTTCCTGGTCAGCAACAGTGCTAAGGTTTGCTGTGGGATTCAAATAAAGATCAGCTGTTATTAAAGGTCTATTTTGTGCAATAAACCCATTCTGTTAGTCCAGCACCATGGGCCTGCCTCTTGAACACAAACCAAGTTGAAACCTTGCATTTGTTATTGTTTATGCCAAATTCTAACTCTCAATTTACCATGTCTGACCAGAACTTTTGCCAGACCAAGTGATGCCTTTTTACTCTTTCACTGTTTTGGTGATAATCTGCCCACTGTAGCCTCACATTGCTCCTGAAAGCGGCTCGTAGTGGTAACGAGGTCTTCTACTCAGAGGTTCAACAAGCGTTGCCCTTTTGCACAGCACTTTTGTACTGTTATACCTGTCGTCTCCCTGTGAAGGAATCGTCATTCTCAGTCATTCCTACAGATGCACAATATGGGCGACTGTGTCTCAGTGGTAGAGCAGGGTCGTCCTTCAATCAAAGAATCGGCAGTTCGATTCCCGGCTCCATGTTGATGTGTTCTTGGGCAAGACACTTAACCCCAAATTGCTCCCGTAGCTGTGCCTACGGTTGGCTACGGTTTGTGAATGTTGTATGAATGTTAAATAGTCCTGTTGGGCATGTGGTACCTTACATGGTAGCCCTTGCCATCAGTGTATGAATGGGTGAATAATGACATGTAGTGTTAAAGAGCTTTGAGTGGTGGGAAGACTAGAAAAGTGCTAAGTACAGTCCATTTGACCATTTATATAGTTTCAGCATTGACAATGAGATGTGCGCATGAGCAAAAGTCAAATTGTGGGACGTGCGATGTTTGCTAACGCTACGACTTTTTTGCTGCTTGATACAAAAGGAATATTATAACACAATATACTGTATATCAGTTTTTTTCAATATGGTGCAGCCCTACTTTGACCTATGCTGTAATCGGTGCATTTTCATTCACAAAACTGCTGCTGATTGAATGAATTGCATTTTCATGTGTGTGGAGAAAATAAGGTGTGCAAACATTATTGGGAATATTTGATGACTGTACAGAAGAAACTACATCCCTTTTGATGCAGATTATGCTTATAATTGTACAATATTATATTATTATTGAGACTGCACCTTGGTCCATGAATTAAAAAATATATAATATTAAAAAGCAAAACTTTAACATGCGTATTACTGTGTATTTTCTTCATTCATTAGAAGTTGTTGAGAGGAACTCTCCTCCTACACCAGTGGAGATCCTCCCATCTAATGCAGGCCAGGACATCGCTCCCACCCAGTCAGCAGGTAAGACATTCTTTTCTCTGTCCTTTGTTTCGCCTCATCTGTTCTGGTATATTGTTGTCTGCCTTAAAAGTTCTATTTTAAGTTGATGAACAGGTGAAGAACAGCTGATAAATACATGGACATCATAGCTAGTTGGCTTTCTAACTTGTTAATTAGCAAGCTAAGATGCTTGATTGCTAACTAAACAATAAGTTATTGAAGACCGTGAAGGGTAATTCTTTTGTAATTAATTGATTTCACTCCTCCCTTTTGTTGTTTTAATGTAGTGTGTGCATGCCTTTAGAGTCTTGCTAAGGCAGCACACAAGGATAGTTACACAGACTGCAAGGATCTACAGTGTTTTTTGATGCAGTATTTGGGCCAAAGTGCTTAACTCAAGAGGGAACATTACCAGTTGATCTTTAAGGAAGTCTTAATGAAAAGCTAGAACAATAAGGCATATACAGAAGCTTGCACGGTATCAGTTATTCATTTTGGGGATAGTCTTCATGTTTTGTTGTTGAGACATCAACTTAAATGAATGGAAACAAGGCAACTGGTTGGCTGTGTTAAAATGACAGTTAAAAAATAACAATACATGAAACTAAAGATTCTCATTCATTGAACTGAAGTTTGCTGATCTTCTTCATGGCTCTTTATAGTATTTTGTGGGACCCATTACTAGTTCTAAAACTGCTGTTGTATTAATACTCTCCTCTTTCTTCTGGCCCAGAGGTAAATGAGTGCCAGATCAACCCTTATATTTGTGGCATGGGGATTTGTTACAACACAGCTGAGGGTTACACCTGCCACTGTGATGAGGGATACCGCCTGGATGACGCCCAAACCACCTGTATAGGTGAGGAATCCAGTCCAGTGCTCAAAGCCAGTCATTTTCCTTTTCATGTACATTCATTTAGTCATACATCTAAGGATAAACCCATGGACTATTGGGTTTATTACATTGGATTGAATGAACACCCATTTATTCATTTACATTTATAGTTACTGTGAGGAACTTTTAACTGGTTATAAAACAGTCTCCAAATAATACGGATGCCGCTATAACACTTACAGAAGTAAACAAGACCGTCACTGAGAAGATTTCTATAAAGTTATTCTTAATGCTTGTCATCAGTGCCAGTGAATTCCATACGAAATCAGACAAAATCATGCAGGTTCACCAAGAAACCTGATTACAGTACTGATATACCCCCCCCCCCCACCATGTATGAATGGCCCAAAAATAGTATATACTTTGTAACTGTTCCATTTTGTTGGACCTAGTAGCTCACATTGTGGTAATTCAAAGAGTCATTTCTTAATGTGTGCAACACAAAGTAAATGTTCCTAATTTTCATGACCTGCAATTTTAACTATATCAAATTCGGCACACAGCCTGGCTCTATTTCTAGTGGCTTTAATGAGCTTTCTTTCTGTTAGATTATTATCAAACCCCAGGGACTGTGAACATGACTCTGAGGTGTGGGGACCACAGTTACTTAAAAGACATGTCAATTTGTTGATGTTTGCATATGGGTGAAGTGAATCGGGCAGAGAAGGACAGTAGTGTGCATACTCTACGGCCCAAAACATGCTGAAGGAGTCCCAACTTTTTTGTGTATGCTCTCAGTGAGCAACTTTCATTAGAATGGCAGTGTGCCATTGTGGAAGGCAGTAGCCAGTTCACTCAAATTTGTTCAAGATTGTTATATCATCTTCTGGTGGGGGAACAGAGCAGATCTTGCCATCAACAAAACACTACCCTGGTTTATCTCTGTATGAAAAATTCTGTAATTTTGACACTTTCTTTGAATGTACATTTTATACAACAAAGTGACACATGTTGTTTGCTCTGGTTTGTGTGTCCAGATGTAGATGAGTGTTTGGAAAGCACATCTTTGTGCTTTGGCGGTCGCTGCGAGAACACAGAGGGCAGTTTTCTGTGTGTGTGTTCGCAGGGATTCCTTGTCAATGAGGAGCGAAACAGTTGTTTTGGTACGTACCCTCAACTCATGCTGCCAGAGCTCGTATCTTTCTCACACACATTCCTATTCATGCACAAACATACCTCAACACACATGCTGTATGTAACACGCACCCAACATTTGCAACAGAAACTGATGTAATTAGAACTTGGTTAAGTGTGCCCATACATCTCGCCCATCTAACAATGTTTTTTATGAAAGTGAGATGCCTTTTGCTTTTTTCCACTTTGCCCATCACCTGGGAAATGAAAACACGTGTTAAATCATCCAGTGTAAGTGATATAACTGGCCTTCAATAGGTAATAATCGAGACAAAAGCCTATAGCCTTGCCAATAGTGTCCCTACTGCCTCCATGTTCATTACACTCTACCAGGAAAACCGAAGATGGAGATCAGCTTTATGATCATTTTGCTATAGTCTGCGCTATATTAACCATGGGATCCTTAATAATTTTAATGAAATTGACAGTGAAAAAATGTATACATGAAGAAATTAAATTACATTTAAGAATTGTCCGATTCTGGCCCATCTGTGCTGTCAACCCTGAAACATACCGTCATCGTGGATGAGTGCGAAGCAACAGGGATAGGACCCAAATGCAGAAGATGCAGACAGACTGGTACCATTCAATGATATCTACTACAGTGAAAGTATGTTTATTGGCAGGTGCAAGTAAGGAGGCAGTTACAGATAGAAGTAAAGGTAGGCAGACAGGCATGTTCAGGTATAGGTACGGGGTCAGAATCATGGCACGGTTCAGGTTCTGGTGACTTGAAAGCAAAGCTACAAAGCACATGGCAAGGGGAACCAAAGAGATGGGTGGCCTAGGGACTCGACAGCAAAGGAGCAGGAAACCTCAGACAGCCGGCCTGGAAACTGGACAGGGCGGAGCAGGAGACCTCAGGTGGCAAGCCCAGCAGAGCCATTGGGCTGGGCAGGTTGGTAGGACGACAAGAAAGTGGGGCGCAGGGCGTAACTGGTGGTCAGGAGGCTGGAGTTCAGGAAAGGTGTAGTTCCTAGCAGGGTGCTGGGCAGGAGGCTGGCAACAGGAATGCAGAGCATCTAGGACAGGTGTCGCCAATAGGCGGACCGCGGTCCGGATCCTGACTCAGACGCCGTTGTATCCGGACCCAGGACCTAAAACCGATAGATAATTGAGAATTATTCAATTTTGACGGAGCGCCTCTATTTTAACCGGCGCAGCTTTTTCAGCCTTTACGGTACTTGTTCAGCGGTGCAAATCACATCACGTGATGCAGTTCGGCCAATCAAATCTGGGTATTCTGACAAGTTTCCTGAATCGAGTGAGATACACACACGGGAGAGACAAGGAGAGAGGACGAAGAGTAGGAGAATAATTACGTGAGTCAGAGAAGTTATTTCACATGACGAGAGAAAAGTGGTCAGAGAGACCAGAGTCTTTAACCAAGAATGAACAGACTCTTTCAGGTTAATTCTTCCCACGGACAGTTTAAAACCAGTGTGTCTCAGATGTTCAGAGACCATGACGATTCTTAAAAGCGGTAATGTGAAGAATCACTACGAGACAAAGCACAACTCTTTTGAGCAACGTTCCCTCTCACATCTGAAATGAAGACAAAAAATAAACCTAAGAGCCCAATATGATCAGAATCCTAACGCATTCATTCACTGACCAACAGTGATGTGAACAGACAGAATATAACTGAAACAAGTGTTAATAACCACAGATAAAGATCATGCACACTAATTTCTCTTTTTAGAAGATGAGAAAAATATAATATCGTAGCTTTTTTAATTGACATCACTTCACACCTGAATGAAGTGAATTTTAAACTGCAGGGCAAATCGGTGAAATTCATTTTTTCTAAAATGAATTACTTTATTTTAAGATGCACATTCTTCAAAAGCTTTCTGTTATGTCAGTTATTCTTTAATCCAGCCCTTATTTTACTTGAAATGAGAAGAACATGTATTTATGTATTTCTATGTATTATTTATAATCCATCCAGTTAAATTTGAAAACTGAGAATAATTGTTAAAATATAATTGATGTGTACTTTCTTCATTTGATTTGACAGTTGTTGACTACACAGAGACGTTACTACTACTAGGCTATTTCAATATATACAGTATATATACATGCATATATACATATATATATATACACACAAACATATATATATGTGTGTGTGTGTGTGTGTGTGTGTGTGTGTGTGTGTACATGTGTGTGTATATATGTGTATATATACAGTTGTGTGAAAAAGTGTTTGCCCCCTTCCTGATTTCTTATTTTTTTGCATGTTTGTCACACTTAAATGTTTCAGATCATCAAACAAATTTAAATATTAGACAAAGATAACACAAGTAAACACAAAATGCAGTTTTTCAATGAAGGTTTTTATTATTAAGGGGGAAAAAAATCCAAACCTACATGGCCCTGTGTGAAAAAGTGATTGCCCCCCCCTGTTAAAACATAAATTAACTGTGGTTTATCACATCTTTGGAAAGCTGAGTTCAATTTCTTTAGCCACACCCAGGCCTGATTACTGCCACACCTGTTCTCAATCAAGAAATCACTTAAATAGGACCTGCCTGACAAAGTGAGGTAGACCAAAAGATCCTCAAAAGCTAGACATCATGCTGCGATCCAAAGAAATTCAGGAACAAATGAGAAACAAAGTAATTGAGATCTATCAGTCTGGAAAAGGTTACAAAGCCATTTCTAAAGCTTTGGGACTCCAGCAAACCACAGTGAGAGCCATTATCCACAAATGGCGAAAACATGGAACAGTGGTGAACCTTCCCAGGAGTGGCCGGCCGACCAAAATTACCCCAAGAGCGCAGCGACGACTCATCCAAGAGGTCACAAAAGACCCCAGAACAACATCCAAAGAACTGCAGGCCTCACTTGCCTCAATTAAGGTCAGTGTTCATGACTCCACCATAAGAGAGAGACTGGGCAAAAATGGCCTGCATGGCAGAGTTCCAAGACGAAAACCACTGCTGAGCAAAAAGAACATAAAGGCTCGTCTCAGTTTTGCCAGAAAACATCTTGATGATCCCCAAGACTTTTGGGAAAATACTCTGTGGACTAACGAGACAAAAGTTGGAACTTTTTGGAAGGTGTATGTCCCATTACATCTGGCGTAAAAGTAACACGGCATTTCAGAAAAGGAACATCATACCAACAGTAAAATATGGTGGTGGTAGTGTGATGGTCTGGGGCTGTTTTGCTGCTTCAGGACCTGGAAGACTTGCTGTGGTAAATGGAACCATGAATTCTGCTGTCTACCAACAAATCCTGAAGGAGAATGTCCGGCCATTTGTTCGTGACCTCAAGCTGAAGCGCACTTGGGTTCTGCAGCAGGACAATGATCCAAAACACACCAGCAAGTCCACCTCTGAATGGCTTAAGAAAAACAAAATGAAGACTTTGGAGTGGCCTAGTCAAAGTCCCGACCTGAATCCGATTGAGATGCTGTGGCATGACCTTAAAAAGGCGGTTCATGCTCGAAAACCCTCCAATGTGGCTGAATTACAACAATTCTGCAAAGATGAGTGGGCCAAAATTCCTCTGCAGCGCTGTAAAAGACTCATTGTCAGTTATCGCAAATGCTTGATTGCAGTTGTTGCTGCTAAGGGTGGCCCAACCAGTTATTAGGTTTAGGGGGAAATCTCTTTTTCACACAGGGCCATGTAGGTTTGGATTTTTTTTTTTCCCTTAATAATAAAAACCTTCATTTAAAAACTGCATTTTGTGTTTACTTGTGTTATCTTTGTCTAATATTTAAATTTGTTTGATGATCTGAAACATTTAAGTGTGACAAACATGCAAAAAAATAAGAAATCAGGAAGGGGGCAAACACTTTTTCACACAACTGTATATATATGTGTGTGTGTGTGTATATATATATGTGTGTGTGTGTGTGTGTATGTATATATGTGTGTGTATGTATATATGTGTGTGTATGTGTATATGTGTGTATATGTATATGTATGTGTATATGTATATGTATGTGTATATATGTGTATATGTATATGT